CCGGGTAGGCTTCGACGGGCTGTGGCAACTTGCCTATAATATTTTATATGAATGATGAGAAAAAATTTGGCCAAATTGACCAAATTCTAAATTCATTCAAAATGAACTATAGTGTAAACATCAAATTCATTAAAATTTTCAATTGTATTTGTAAACTTTCATACCAAACACATAAATTTCTCAAATCTTTATAATACACCAATAATTCACTCAACCAAAAGGCCCCTAAGTTGAAGTCAATAAATACTCAAAAAGAATTAATATATTGTCAGCACTATTTTGGTTTGGGGAGTTGTCCGTTGGAAGCTGTCGGTCGCCGGAATCGAAATTCCGTCACCCGCTTTGGAAGGACATTTTAATGTTTAGAAAAATATGAAATCAAACTGACCCCATATTTTTTTCATAATTTAAATGAAAGAGCATTGTACTGCAAATCCTGTATCTATCCCGAATGATAAACACAAGACTTGAGGATGAGACTCGATCAAATAAACTAAGAAATGTATGACGTCCGTTTGATATGCGAAACTATTTTTTTTGCCGACAACTTATCCTATTTAATATGAAGAATTAAATAGGGTTTATATTAAACTGTGTTCGGACAAGCTTTCAAGCTTCCTATAAAGGCAAGCCCTTATAGTTAGTTACATCTTAAATGACCAAAGTCACTTAAGAAAACTCTCGATAAAATCAGAGGATATTATCTTCAAAGAGGCAAAAGGATAGGATTTTTCAACAAGATCGGATGAAGAGGTGTGAAAAGGGATTGGTTCAAATTTGAAACATTTTGTTTTTGGAATCCAAAGGAGGAAGAACTAGGAGATGTCATAGATCCGGAGGAGAACCTCGATGACCTCCCAAACTGTCCTATTGTTTGGCTTCAGTTTTGAGGAGAAATTCTATTAAATGTTTCAAAACTGACTTAAACACTGACTTAAATTACCTCATTCTCAAGTCTTGTGTTTATCCCTAACTCCTATCACCCGAGTCAGTTCGGTTTTTCAGAGGCTAGCCTCTAAAGAATGTTGTTCAATCAGTGAACTACTTAAACGAGTGAGACATGCAATAACTCCTCGCATGAAGAAAGAAATTTTAAAGGACGTCCGATCCGCCAAACAATCTCAAAAAGTTAACTGAGGCTTTGCCTACTCTTATTCTTGTCTGGTTTCGCTTGGGGAGCAGAGTTGATACCACCATCGTCACCACCGAGTCTGTCGTCGCCAGGACCTGTCGTCGACCGATTAAGTCAAGACTGAGTCCAAGAATCCTATCGATCACCCACTATAAAGACATCCCTAAATTTCTAAAGGAAAAGACAAAGAGATTACCTGTGACAAAGAGATTACCCGATATTGTAGTTGGTCTGCACCATGGGGAGCATACTCTTCCTCGACATACCGATGTTTCTGCTAGGAAACTCACTCCGTCCTGAGACATCATCGTCAAAGAAAAATGTATGGATACTCAAGGTCGTTGTACCAATACAGTTCAATAAGCCCACAAGGCAAGATCATGGAATGAAGCCAGGGTCCGAAGTATCTGACATCGTCGCAGCGATTGCCAGTGAAATGGAAGAACAAGAGGAGGAGATCCAGCAGGGTCCTCCAAATCT